GTAGGATAGCATAGGATCTAGCTGGAGTGCAGCTCCGGCGCCAGTTGGGGATGTATTCGAGCTTTGAAAGGCCTTTTGCTAGATGCAGTCGGGGTGCTCCCATGACAGACGCAGTCGCTACGGCAGTCTTTGAGAGCCACATACATAATCACTATCATAGCCATTATCGCCATCAGCGAGTATCTTGCTATCCCTCTACTTTACTTCTGGAAAGAATCCGCTTGCTAAAGTACTCTTGATGTACCTCCCGTTCTCGATCCCTAGGCTTATGTGGCATGCTCCCTGGCACTCACCATGTGACTGAAACCTGGCGAGATTTCCAAGCTGCGAAGTTTCTAATTGATTGCTGTCACAGTATAAGGGGGAAAACACAATCCAGATATTGCTTGCCCACAAGAAGTTCAAGCGCTTTTAAGCGTAAAACCAAAGAACCCCCCGTAAGTGTGCAAGCCTCACTGACAGCCTTAAATCTGACAAACTTGTGGGGCTTGTCAAGAAGCGTCCTCCCGAAGGCTCTAAGCCTTCATTTTCTGAAGCATTGAACATTTGCCCATAGGGTCTTAAGGTGATTTAGCATAGTGCTAAAATTTACAGTTACAAGCCACATAGAGTCTTCCTTCTGCAGTAGAAAAAGTGCGGAAAAGGAGACAGGATCACGCCTAACTGCGCAGCTCGCAACTTAGAAACTGCGGTCGTAGTGAATATCACACAATAGCTAGCATAATCCTACAAGCAACTTTTTGTGTTTCATGGGGCATGTTGCCTCCTAGTGGGGCGCTGTGAGGCAAGTCCCGTAGAAGGCATTCAGCTACAGGCTGTTTAGCCACTTAATGCCCTGGATAATTCCACATTGTTGCCTATTGGCTGCCGCTGTAGCCGCAGGCCAGGAAGCAGGGGGAACGAAGAGAACTGCTGTAGCAGCAGCTGCTGTTGATGCCCTCTTGTGCGAAAGGCTTGTAGCGGCAGCATCATCTGATGTGGCTGCTGTAGCGAAGTATTGCGCCCTGCCGTGTGGTCCTTCACCGGGGCTAATGCAGCAGTGCTCCGCAGCAGCTGGTGGTGTTGTAACGGTTGCTGCTGATGATGCTCCATGTGCTGTTGCTGAGATGATTGTAGCGACTGCTGCTGGCTATGCTGAAACGGATATCGTTGTTCTTCATATAAAGCATCTCTCTGGACATTAATTTGCTGTGCGTCGGTCACATGATGATCTGGCTGTGGTAGGAAATGCTCCACGTCAAAGTCATGCGATGCGGACGCCTTCGCTGCCTCTTTATTGTCGTTCAGATCACTAGTTCTCTGTCTTTTTGTAGCGGCAGGAGGATTCCCTTGAACGCTACTCTTAGGAGTTAATATTCTGCGCTGGAACTTTAGGCGCATGGACTCTTCCACCGCATATATCTCCTTCAGATCTGCTTCCTCAAGGCACGCGGCTGGTACCATTGCTAATACATCCTGTTCGGCTGCAAAGTTAAGTGCGAACAGCACTGCGTTCAATCACAGATATCCTGCAGTCTATTGCTTTAGAACGACCTCTTTCTGAGAATACGGAGAAGAGTGGGACGAGACATAAAATACACGAACTATCTTTACCGCTTCAAGCGTTTAAGGTGTGAGAAGCACACATACAAATAATGCAGTTTATGCCAAAGCACATCCATGACTTAAAAGACTCATCAGATGCTCACCTTTGAGTTCACTGGCGAGGGCTTCGGGCGGCAAGGCAGCCCTCCACATTTCAATCTTCTCAATAGCACACAGTCTACTCTTGACAAAGCCATGCTTCTTAACTAAAAAGCGCCTGGCCTCACCTCTCATCTGCGCTACCCAGGCGAAGTTCGCAGCCTCAAAACGAACACCGTGAACGTACGGTAGTTCCATCGCCCTGCGGCTTAGCCGAGCCACGCGACTAGCTGAAAAGTCCTGTAATACAGGATTAAAGATCATTAGGAAAACCGTGTTCTCTATGCAAGACTTATAATTTAAGCACAAGTAGTGGTGGTGCAAAATATGTCTATGTGGCATTTCTTGATCACTAAAGCTCTGTCGTGGATCAAAAGCCGTAAGGCGATAAATGGATGGCTTAACTCAGTGGGGAGAAAAGAGCTGGATGGGAGGAGCAAAGCAAGGAAGTAGTGCACTGACGGGGTGCTGAATATATGCGACTATACCAGGCAACACAAGGAATAATCTATCTCAGACTCATGCATGTAAAAACGATCCCTGCTTACACTCTTTGGCAAAATGAACTCCTCACTGCTGCTTTTCGCCAAATTAAATGCTCCTCCTGGGGGTCCTGTGAGCCCCAGCGTCACCTGGGGAACGACTGGTACACCACAGGCAGACCTTCTACCTATTTCCTTGACTACCCGGGGCCCCCCTGTACATCCGTCGTCTCTTGTTTCTTCCTTTTCTTTGCCTGTGCGGCAAGAGGCCCGCTTCGAAGAACACTGACGCCGGCCTAAGAAGCACCATCAGATGCAGCAGATGAAAGTGCACGGAACCTGGAGAAACCGTAGATACGCAACTGCTCCACGTGAATATTGGTAATACACCATCGGCCGTCTAAAATCTTTAGCAGAACTGGCACGAAAAACTTTTCCTCGGTGAACATGAAAACAGCCTTTGAGTCTTTTGGCTCACAATGCGTCGCATATTGCTGCGCTTTCTTCTTCGCTCCTTCAAACCCGAGCAAGGCTACAGAGAAAGCCCTGCTCTGTTGCAGCAGTCCACTTGCGCAGCATACAACCCAGGCCCCTAACTGTGGAGAGAAAGTCACTTGTACATTGCCCCTCTGGTTTTTCCCTTGATTGAGGCCCTCTGCTGATATTACTAACCCTACGTCGGCTGGGCTAGTCGGTCCTCCAGTGGATGACCCTCGCACACTACCTGCTGCTTCAACAAATGAAGGAGCAGGGTGATCGCCAGGGGGTTGCCTGTTATTAAGAAAAAGATAAGAGGAAAAGGCAGCACCTGGTGGCATGCTGCTAAGTGTGGGCGCTGCCCCGTCACGCATCCATTCACATGGAGCAGAGGCAGGTAGCAATGCAGCTGATTCTCCACTCGAGAAAGTTCCTACCCCACTACAGCCGGGAGTATTAGCAGATGCCTCTGTGGGTCCTTCTGTACCCTGGTGCGCCAGATTTGTTGCCACAACTTCAGGCAGAGAGAACGTTCCTCCAAGCCCAATACTCTTCCCGTCTCCTGTTAGCCCAGGGACTCCCAAGCCAACTCGATTGACACCAATAGGGGGCAACCGAAGCGCCGTAGCGGTTGCCAGCGCCCCCGCTGCTGCAACAGTGCACTCGGGGCTCCATGAAAGTGTTTTTTCTCTTTCAGTTGGGCGTGACAAGACACTAGCTGCAGCAGTAGATGCATCACATGCTGCTGCTGGGCCAAGGGATGTGGGGACCGTATATGACACGAAATCCGTCGGAAATGTTGATATAACACCAGTATCACTGTTCTTGCCGCTGCGAGGTAGGTTGCTTCCACTTGAGGGACCGTCCACACTAAACGCATCCACTGAGGAAGAGGGGAATCGGGATTCCCCTTGTGCCAATGGACCTGCTGCTGAGTTCTCACATTCTCCTTCAGAACCACACCACTCGCACGGATTTGTACTTGATCAGTACCAGATATGACCGTATAAGAGCGTGGGAGTTTGTGTCGCTCTCACCTGTGGCTTCGGTACGGTTACTGGTCGTTTGTTCCCTAGTACTTGCTGGTGCTGCAAGAGGGGGTAGATCTGCCAAAAGGTGTGTCCCAGGGGAGGGCGAAATCGGTGAGATTAGTGGTGTACTAATGCTACCGAACGCCATTGTCGGAGAGGGTCCTGACCCCGTAAAGCGCCAGCATGGAGCCACTGAAGCAATCGCTCCTGCTGTGTAGCTGGCGAAAGGACCCCCACTGACACCGTTCTCTGCTCCAGAACCCAAACTGGAGACTTGCAGTAGAGGCAGCCACCGCTGCAGTAGTGGCTTGAAGTTATGGTGCCCTCCAGGCTGCTGCTGATGATTGTTTCTTAAAAGCAAAAGCTGCAGCCTGACGTGTTGCAGTGTGGATGGATCCTGTTTGGATACCTCAGGCAGCGGCAATCCTAAGAAACACGAGAATATCTGAAGGTACTCACTGAACTCGTTAAGCGAACAAGCATCAAGATGCTCCTCATGAAATAAACACTGCCCCTCCCAACCCTCTGTAGCACCGTCGCCAGTACCAAGCAATAATGGTGGTGAAGCTGTTGCTATCGTCTCGCTATCGTCAGATATTGGCGTGCCTCTCCTGCTTAATGTAGAGCCATCAACAACCTCAAAAGATTCTTCCTGACTCCCTGAGCGCTCAGAGTGCTGGAGGAGAGGAGCTGTTGGTGGGCTGCGAGGGGCAACGGCGCCCACATCATGACTTCGTGCAGCAAGTACGACCATCTTGGACGGTCTGCAGTCACTATTCGTGCTGGAGTCACCGCTGCGTCTTACAGGGGTCTCAGAAGCCGCTCCAATTTTCTCATCGGCATTTGAAACCAGGCTTTCGATGTAGCTACGACTGGCATTATGGAGCTCACTTAGGTTACGGCAATCCCCGTACTCAATTCCGGGGTCAGATTCGTACAGCACTGGACAAGAGGACCGCTGTGTATGCCCTGCCTCATGCTCAAGAGGCTCTCGTGCTGACAATTTCATAGACTGTTTACTGTACATAATACGGACCAGCGCACGGACATGGTGGCGCAGGGCACTTAGGATTATGGGAATATTTGGATTAGGCCGGGTGGCCACTGGAAGTGCAGAGTGGCGCCTTTGGCCTGTATCATACTGCTGAAACTGCTTTTGCTGGAGCTGAGACAATGGAGCCAGGACATTTGTCCCGTTGCCAGAAGACAAGGCAAAAGGTAGGACTGGAGCTCCTATGAAGCCATACGCCGCAAGGCGCTGAGCTGTTGCTGAGGAAGCCGAAACGGCGCCTCCAACACAGCTGGTGAGAAGCGGCCCATGACTACTGGGTCCTAGGAGCAATGAATGAGTGAGACGCCCGGTATTTCCCATGGAAAGGTCCACAGGCTCACTACCAAAGGAGAGCATCTGCAGCCTCGCTAGGCTGGATCTCAAACAACGCTCTATTAACCCTTCCGCCACTGAAGTCTAGTCTAGTCCATCCATACATTGCAAACTTACGCAGCGCTTTCAGAATAATGATGAAGTCTTTTTTATACCATTTGGCCTCTAGGAAGGCCTACCAATACTTTATTTGTTCCTCGTCATACTGCGAATGGCAGGCTTATTGATGTCATGGTAGCACGCATGTATCTATTGTCTACCAAAGCAAAACGCTACCCGCGTGACTAGGCACTAATATCCGTCATTGAAATGGATTATTTGAAAAATAGAAGGCATCACCAAACTTGCGCTGCTAGGTCACATACCCATGAAGTGAGTTGCTAACGTCTTCAGCGTCTCATTGGAGGCTCATCTAAAAATGGAGAACACAACAAACAAAATCATCGTCTTTCAGCAACATACCTTAGCTTTGCTCTAGCAAGCAGTTCATTTCTGGATTAGCAAACGACGGGGCTGCCCAGTCTATGAATGCGTCCATGGGCACGGGGCTGAACAAGCACACACACACTCGCACACACACGCACGCACATACATACATAAATACACATGCACACAAATTCGAAACTATAAGGCAACAAAGGGTTTGGCGGTCCGTGGAGGATATCTCGAAGAACAAGCCCTACTCTCGGTAAAAGTCGATAAAGAGCAAGGAGCCCCATTCTGCCCGCTGTCTTGTCATTCTGGTACTGGTGAGCAGATAATGCAAGCCAAAGAGCTAGTTCTTTGTTGAAATCTGTGTATTAGCCCCCTCTAATATCTTTAAAAGCTTTATTGTCTGCATTAGACGGCCAGCTATGACGATCTTCACCAAGTGATGACACCTACACGGCGCTGTACGCTATAGAGAGCTAATGCTAAAATCGCGCCTCCAGGTGCATTCATAAGGTCTTCAATAGTCCTATAAGCGCTAACAGCCTCTACTATGAGCCTGCTCACGCTTCGATTAATAAGGCTCTCAGCCGCGAACCACGCCAAGTGCACATGCATGGCCACATGCGCCAGCACCTAACAAAGTAGTTCCCGACATTATTCGTAGTGCAGAGCACCGATCCTGACTCTACTGTCATCATTTCAGCGGCTAATAGCTGTAGGGTTATGCTGTGGGAATCAACGAAGGGCCTTTCAAAGCTCGAATACATCCCCAACTGGCGTCGGAGCTGCACTCCAGCTAGATCCTATTCTATCCTAT